GCACTGACAATGGCAAATCCTCAAAACTTTCTATGTGAATCACTGTTCAAGTTCGAATTTCTTTTGAATTCAAACAACTGCTTTGCTTTTGAAAACAAGGCCTCTACTAACTGTAAGCAAAATTGCTAGCTTTGGCTCAATAAATCTCCTTAAATCGCTTACCACTTAACTTTTCGGAACATTCAAATTTAGATTTAAAGACTACTCGTCTGCAAGACCTGTTTCAAAAGATTTCGGTTGCAGTGGGGGATATTTGGATGTGAGAAATCCAGCGCTAAAATCCTACTCATTTAAAAAGCATGATACACGAATGCGGCGATTTCATAGAACATCATCATCTAGCCAAAACAAAAAATTCTTTACCAAAATCCATGTGACCGTTGGTGAGGGTATGGCTCGAGTAGGTGGACAATGGGCGATCACGCGTTCACCTAAACTAGGTCGAGCCGGCTTGAATACAGGTCTACTGTCGCTGGGGAACTGATCAACGTAGGCGATCACCAGCCGAACCGACTCGCTGATTTGACCCGTATCATCGCGTCTGCACCAGTACTCTCCTTGGTCACCTAAGTGGATTACATGAGGTTGCAGCAGCAGAAAATTCCCTATCGAATTCAGCTCATAAGAGCTAGCTCTTAAATCAAACTCATCCCAATCCAGCAGCCGTAACAATCGCTCTCATCAGAACCGAAAGAATCAAACATTTGAGGAACAACCAGCAAACAATGCAGATTTTGTTCTATAGTTGTGATATCAGCCTGATATCTCTCCAAAGTGTCTGAATTTTGGCTTAGAAATTGAAAGCTTCTTTGGAAGCTTCTAGGATTTCTATCTTATCGGGAATGAGTCATTCGAAAGAGTTCCCTCACGATAGCACGACTGCTCAATTTACTTCGGTTCTGTTCCAAAACCACTACGATCACTATCGATTTCGTCGTTGATTTACGATATTTCCGATCGAAAACTATCCATCCATAGAGTCGTATATATTACACAATATGAAGGTGTGATTTTCGTCGTTTTGATGAGCTTTTTTTTTGGAGAGCATTTGCTAGCAATTTAACTGCTAAAAGTGTGAGCAGCTGCATCTCGTTAACTGATCCCATTACATCCACAAACGCAAATTTTATTTTTATGCACATTCCGAATGAGTAATTCCTCAAACGAGTTGTGGTGGTGGTGGTGCGTTGAAACAATTCTCGAACAAATCAATATCGATCCGAGAAACATCCAAAACGATACAGAAATTTATTCACTCAGATCAATTACACCTGGATGACAGTAGGATACCTTATCCACTCAATATTTTCTATAATGAACATTCAGTTTCGATTCATCCAATAGGATCCTGTAGTAAATGAACATCATTCAGGACAAGAGATAACAATTCCGTAAAACTAACCCATTGAAATGTTGGTGATAATTAAGAAGCCGACGTCTGGAACGGGTTGTTCCGAGTGATAGGATCGATTAAGGAGGACAGCATTTGACGAACTGAAATTGAACTGATAATTTCAAAAATATGGACGATAGCGATCGGATCTCTTGATCCACAGGCATGGCATTAGAGAACGTTTAGTTAACTTGAAGTCATGAAAATGCTGCAATAGCAAACTTCTCCCAACGCATATTAATGTAACATAGGGATTGTGAGCAACACTGTGTCTAGTGCAAGCATGGAACTAGGATTTTTACGGATTTTTACGAAAATTTGACGGTGAAATCAAAAATGGGATCTATTGGACTGGATTAAAGCTTCATTAAGTGATCGAAAGCACTTCAACGAGTCTATCGAACAAGGCGGTCGGTGACTGACCTTGTCACATTGGCAACTTCAATTCCGTCGCGGTACCATTTGGCCGTGCCACTATTCCCGGTGAATATCGGTTCACACATCAACGCGGTTGTGGAATGCCTGCAAATGAGCGATTTTACATTCATCATCACGAACGCACGCAAATCATAATTGAATTTGACGTTTTGATTTGAAATTTCGGATACGAATCCAAAAAAATTTGGGTGTGACGATACCTCGGAACGAGCATTTCATTTGCTGAAAGGGATTTTGATCTGATATGCTGCAGACTATCGTTGGTGACCAATGGCGAGCGTCGATCATGCGGTGAAGCCAAAATACTTGAAGTGACTGAAAAATTACTGGTTTGAGTTCAGAAACCTCCGATTAAACTCGTGAAAAATGACCAAAACAACCGGAATTGTCCAATCATCCTACTTCAGCTAGCTTTCAGGCTTAATTTTAACCTTAATTAAGCTAACTCCTTAATTTAGATTAGCGATGGCGCTCAATCTTTAGCTCTTTATACGCTGAAGCTTCATACGTTTCCGTAAGTAATCTTTCAAATTCATACAAAACAATATCCAAAACTGTTGTAATTTGATTCTCGACACCTCCCAAGAACAACTCATTTTACTGATTATCTCAGGATCACACTGTATTGGGATTGAGACATCTCAGACGAAATCCAAGCATGGTTATATCCAAATCAAGCAAACAGCTTGAATGATCTAGGAAACCTCTTCGTTCTACTAAAATCTTCAAAAATCTCTCCAGTTAAAGTGGATATCCCTGAAAATCCACTTAAAACCAAATCTGCATAAATCAACTCTCGCCAGATTTCTCGTTCAATACCTTTCATCAATGAATGATCAATCTGCTATATCTATAGAAGAGATTCCAATCGATTGCAAATCGATCCTGATCCGTGTTGAGCACAATTTATCGCAGATTTAGTATCGTATAGATTATAACTCAATCAATTTCAGCTTCGACTAGATGACGCCGGATATCACACTATCCTCTCTAGCAGGTGCAAGTCTTTCATTCTTAGTTGCTGCTGCTATTCACTTCAATTTCATTGCCCATTTCATATTCCATATCCTATTGCCCGTTTCGATTCCATCCTAGCGATAATTTACTTGGAGTGCAAGCAATTGTTTTAAATTTCAGCTTTCACTGAATTCCTTCCATAGACCACAAACATGTGATCGTTAAGCTTTCAATATTACTAAATTCATCATCATCACCGGCACTCACTCATCATAATAGAATTTGACATCTANTGATCGTTAAGCTTTCAATATTACTAAATTCATCATCATCACCGGCACTCACTCATCATAATAGAATTTGACATCTAGCGATGACCAGTTGCTATTGGCCGGGAATATGGCGTTGAGTATGTCAATCATTTTAACGGATGTTGATCAAGTGTAATGATCAAATGAAATTAACAAGTGAATGATAATCAATGAGACAATGAGAAGGAATGTTAAACAATTGCGATCAATCAAGCTCAATCAAGTAAGAGCTATTGAAGCCAGCTTACTCGAAAACGTTTACACGAGATGAGCAGGCAGCTAAGTGCTCTTAAATGTGATGATTAGACAATTACGGATAAAGTGATTTCATTATTATTTCGTAAAGTTTGTATAAACTCGTCGAAATGTTTATTGATCTTCCGATATAAGCCATTTGTGACTTAACTGGCAATATACGGTTTTAAAGAAAGATTTGCGGTCTTAAATTTACTCATCGCCAGTTTCAATATCTGAAGTTCAATGAATCCAACAAGTTCAGTATTTCATTTCGTTTCGGCCTTATCCCCAGCCAAACTCGGGAATAAATATAATCGACGGTTTAACTTACCCAAAAAAAGTAAAATCAGAACTCGGGAATATAATCAACGGTTTAACTTACCCAAAAAAAGTAAAATCAGATAAGGGGCGATTCTCTGACAGGCGTCAAACCCTGATTGATTTCGTCGCTCCATTGCAGTCCCGAAATTGCTATTGCTTCACTTGGGTTCTGTTACATCCTATATAACATTTCGATGTGAATCCTGAAATTACTGCCATTAATATCAGAAGCATGATGACTTCACATCGACTGTACGATCACGTTAATATAAATTAAGGCGACTTGGAACAAAACTAGAGTTTAACATGCTCCTAGCAATTGCGATATTTTAAGAAACTATGAAAAAATTTTGGTAATATCATTGATAGATATGAATAATAGTTATAATAACAGTAATAGTAATTACAGTGATATCTGTAATAGTAACGATAACACTAGCAATTAAAATGTTGAAGATTAGGACTGAATTAAGGGCGGTGGTCTCGATGGCGCCGAGGATTAGACGCGCCGAAACCTCATAACTGCTCAGGTCCCATCAAGGTAGGGGCAGGATCGAGAGCCCCCATGAACTGAGGAATCTCCGACCAGTCCTATTAAAGAGCCTGATCAATCCCATGACTGGGCATCATATCAATCTCCTGATCTATCCGCTCTGGATTAAAGAATCGCTCTTGGTCCTCTAAAATCAGCACTATAGTTTACTAGATGCCTCCAGTAAGCTGAAGCTAAGTCTGGGCGATCAACGCCTTAAGATTAATTGAGACTTAGCAAGCTGCTTCAAGCAACTGGAGAGTTCAAATGCAAACGAATCTCCAGTCAACCTATAAACATGAGAGTCTGCGGAGATTTTTTGACTTCGCACCAATTAGTCTGTAAGTATTCACGCCCACATTATGGCTAAATCATATCGTTTCATTGGAAATACACTTAAAGCGCATTAATTTCCTTACAGAAAAAGACTTGTCAGAGCACTCACTAAATTCACAAGAATTGGAATGTAAAGTGAAAATTGTTTATGAGAAATAAAATTGCTCGAAAAAATTCATGACGAAACGAATGAAATATCAACGAGAACGACGGCGAGTGTGTTAGTTACTTCATCGAATATTGATACGACGATAGAGTAACTCAGCTGCTTGAGTGCTGAAAAATTTCTTAGAGAGTGTATTTGAGGATTGGAAAATCGATTACTATTATTATTATTTTTAGCGTGGCCTGCTCGCCAGCTAGCCAGCGGGGTGACGGCGTAAATTGAGGCTAAAACAATGTGCAGCACGGAAACGTTGCGAGTATTGTAGCCAGCAACGTTACAAACGTTTGATAGCAGCCTGCCTGGACAATCCAGGTAATCCAGGCTATATTTTAGCTAGGAATGAACGCAAACG